AAATTGTAATGGTGGAATTCGAAAGGTCCCAAAACTTAGGGACTTGTTTATGATTTTGCAAAGGTGTTGGTACTGTTATGAACAGTAAATTTCAATGTTGGAAATATTATTGATATGCTGGTTTCTGAGTTTAATTATTGAGTTGGGAGCAAATTACAAGTTTATAAGATTAGGTGGTTGAAATATAAAGTTTAAGAAAGTTTAGGTTGGAATTACAATGTTTTGAATGTTGAGGTATTAATTAAAGTGTTTTGTTAAAGTGCTGGAAATTTAGTAATTAATGTGCAATGATCATAATGATGAAAGATCATTATGAATTTAATGGAAAAGTTGGGGTGAATTCAAAAAAGAATTCACAATTAGTGGCTTGATTGTGTAATTGGCAAAAGATGAAGGGTTAAGAAGGAAAATAAATATTTAGGGATTTGAATGAGTATTTTGAGAAGTTTGAAGTTATATTGGAGATATAGTTTAGTTTGATATCGATTAAGTTTTCGAATTTATTTTATAGACTTTTAAAATATTAAAGTTAGTTTATGTTAGTATGATACTAACATGTAGTTCGAATACTTTGTGTTATTATGTGATATTGTCATATCACGATAAATCTAGTGATTCGAACGATCTGAAAAGGAAGGACCAAGCGCGTAATTAGGAGTATCGTATAAAAAGTTCGATAGTGAGGCAAAGGTGAGTGCAGTTTATTTAATCAATTATTTTTAATTGATGACGACTTGTGATAAGTTAACCTCATATTATTTTAAACGTATGATTTATGTCTTATTTATGGATTATTTTCATAATATCTTTTATAAAATTTTATGAATGATTTAGGATATGAACTACACAAGTTATGATTTTTATGACCGTGAAATAAAAATGATTTTGATTTTTGAAATGTTGGTTATTAAATGATTATGATACGAACTAAAGCTCGTTGTATGTTGCATTGAGAATCATTGGTACAATTGACATGCCATGAGGTGGAGTGACTATGATTCTGATTTGGTACATCCGTATTATGTATAGTATCGGCGGTACGAATGATATGATTGCACTTGTAGTACAAAGACTAACTCTGATAATAACATTGAAGTGCTTATTGTGCATACTCGTTTAACTCACGTACCTTGCATTATCTTAAATATACTTTGGGCAATGAAAATGGAATATGAATGTTTTTTAAATGTGTCTGAATGAAAATAAATGTTTAATGATTACTCTATCTATTATTGCTTATTATGATTTTTGAGAAAATTATAAGTTGATTATTTTCAGGTTATGATAAAGAAATAGCTTGAGCTAATTGGTTTGAACGTTTGAAGACTTTATCTATATTATTTTGAATATTTTAATGTATTTGTGATATATATATATGATGTTACTTTTGGAGATCGTCTATACTATCAGTATTAGTAAGATATCTATGATGTTACTTTTGACTAGCAGTGGCCTGTTTATTTATGTTATCAGTAGTTTATTTGGAATTAAGTTAAATGGTCTGTAATAGTAACTAGGACTATTTTATTTTGACTAGACTAGTCGTATTCGTATCTATGAATGAACAATTTAAACAATGTTTAACCATGTTTTACAATATTTTTATATAACAAATTAAGGTAAAATATTTTTTGGACTTGATTGAATTTGTTCAAAGTTTTCAAAAGTTTTTTAAAAATAATTCAAAGTTTCATTAAAATAGAATTTGATCACAAAACTGTTTTTTTTGGGTATGTAGTACTGATACTGTTCTTACAGTTCCGATACTGCATGAACAATACCGATATTCTTCACGTGGTATCGATACCAAATGTAAGAGAAGTATCGATACTCTCTAGGAAGTATCGATACTCTCTAGGTAGTATCGATACTACCAGTGTTTTTCCAAATTGCTCAAATTCCAGAATGCAAAATAGGTACTGATACCCAAGGGGGGTACCGATACTAGTTTACACAGTAGTATCGATATCATGAAGCATAGTATCGATACTGGTCAAGCCCAACGGTCTTTAACGGCTAGTTTATTTAAAAATTATAAAGATAGTATCGATACTCATTAAAGGAGTACTGATACTCCATGTCCATGGTAGTTTTATTTTGCAGAAAATTAATCTACAACAGCACCAATTTATCCCCAACGACTTGAAACGGCCATAAACTCATTCCAACATATAAAATCAAGTTGAGGAAACTTGAATATGGTTGGTGAACACCTATCCAAGCAATCAAACATAAGAGAAAAGCTTTTCATTTCTCTTGTAAATATTTGTGTTTTGAGCTCATTGCAAATCTTTTATTTGTTTTTAGTGAGCCTAATTCTTGTAAAGACCCTACCTTTTGAGATGTTTTCTTGTTTACTTCTTTTAACCTTGTGAAAAGGGGATTGGTTCTAGCTAAGCCTTTGAAAAGCTAAAGAGTTGTAAATGTTATCTCTTTATCATGCAAAAAGAAAGAACAAATTAGTGAATTGTTAGAAAATCCTTAGTGAGGAGCTAATGTAGTGGATGTAGACTTGGTTTAGAAGTCGAACCACTATAATTCCTTGTGCAAATTGTCTCATTTTTTTACTCCTTACTCCCTAAACTCAAAAAGTCAATTCACCACCTCTTGGCATTATTCGGTTATTCAATTGAGCTTCATCGTAATCCCAACAAACAATTTATGATTATATTCTAAAATGGTTTTTAAACGAAATGGTGATTAGGCAATTATATATAAGTTAGAAAACAATATTAAACTACTTAATTGTTGCTTGAAAACAAATCTATTTTTAATGATTAAATATTATTTTATGTTTTTATAAGTTTAATGGAATAATTTTAAAGTTGGAATAGAAATGTTTTAAAACGAAACAAAATTTTAAGCATTTATGTTTAGTGAAAGTCTGTAAAGTTGATGTAATATCTTTAGCTCGTATTTCGAAACGTGTACGGGCTATGGGTATTACTAGTTGAGTTATTCGAGTTCATATTAAAATTTAGTTGTAAATATTTATAATATTATGATACTATTTGATTCCAATTTAAACGGTTTTCTATAATCATATATTCCTTCATATTTTTTTCATATGTGATATGCATGTATCATACAGAGTCAAGGGAATCGAATCAAACTTGAAAATTAATCTACTAGTTACTAAGAGTTCCGAGTTATTCGAGTTATTCAAGTTATACTTTACAACTCAAGTTGAACTTGAATTTTTTCAACTCGAGTCAAGTTTATGAAATTACAACTTAAAGTCAATTCGAGTCAAATTTTTTCTAGTCGATAAATTGATTTTTCAAGTCGAAATCGAGTTTTGTTCATCCATATTGTAGGATATGTACTGTATGTGGTTAAAAAAATTAAACATATATTATCATATAATCACGATCATTTCAGACTATTAAAGAAATGATTACCAATATTTTTCGTGCCTAGTTTAATGAGTATCTTATAGGTAAATTATATATGACTTTATGTTTATAATTGATTTTTGTAATAATTTGAGGTGATTGTAAGGCAATATCTGTTTAGATAGACACCCTATATACAAAAGTAACTGTTTGAACCTAAGATCTACATGGAAAATATTATTTCCTTTTACCACTTATGTTTATGTATATAATTATGTTATCGTATTTTAGAAAATTATAATTCAACCTAAAATAATAACGTGTACTATACAATACTCCATCTCTTGCATTCATTTTCTACCAAATAGTGTTGTTGCGAAGGTGTGCGCTGCTCTCCTGCCTACCAAACAGTCAAATGCGTTCATAAATTAATAATAAAAAATAAAAGAATAGAAAGAAATAGCAAAAATTAAAAGAAGAAAATCAAAGGGTGTGAAAAGCTCAACCTTAATGAAAAAAAACCTTAATCAAAGGACGTGAAGAATAAAAGTAAATAAATGAAAGATAATTTTATAAATAAGTCAAATAATATATATTAACATTTTAAATATGTTGGGTCAGCTTAGATCAAATATTTTTATCTTAAATATAATTTTTTTTATAAAATTTAATTTAAATTCAAATTTATTAAAAAAAATACAATCTTATAAGGTTAGATTAAATTGAAATCTGTCAAATCTAAATAAAATAATCGTCCTTATTTATAACAGTAATAGAAATTGGGGCACACTCCGCGGATGAAAAATATCAATAATATGAAAAGGTGAAAAATATTTATAACAATAGTTATAATAAATTATTTTAATATTATTTAAAATTGAGTTATTTTTAGTGGTAATAATAAAAATATAAATTTCTTTTACATGAATCAAGTCACCATAGTGATGAAAATGACTGGTTAATGTTAGATGTCTCAGATTTAAAAACGAAGGTACTATCTTATAATCATCTCGATTAATTAAAAAAATATTAAAATGATAAAATAATTACATTAGAAAATTTGTAATTTTGATGTCTCATAATGTTACAGATGAAATTGATCTTAACTTATAATACCAAAATCAGTGAAGGCATGGACGGAAGTATAAATTTATGTCCGGGTGTGCATTTAAGAATTTGTATTAAAAATTATAGGGGTACAGAGTTATAAAATTTTAGAGAGTGTGAAATTAGATAACCAATATAAAATATAAAGAAAAATTTTAATTATAAGGAAATTTTAAAATTTTAAAAGATACGAACGCATCTAACACCAGTCAATCAATCCCAGAGTGATGGGTTGTATGAAGTTTTGATATAGATGATGCGACAAAACAATAGTTACCAACTGTCCAACTTACGAGGTTCGTTAGGAACGGTGAGTTAACCACGTGCGTTGGGAGAGCATTGTTAAGTGGACCTACACGTCAAGAATTGTGAATGAATTAGAAAGTCCTCTGCTTCTAAATTCCATATCACCGTGACTTTTATTACACCTACATGCACACGTCCAAATCTTATATATAGGCTATCACCCTCAAACTTTACCACAACATACATGGAGAACAGGAGTTGCTTTAAGCTAAAATCAAATCCAAGTTTGTCCACTTCCATCTTTAGAAAGCAATGGGGTCGGAATCTAAAATCGTTTGTGTCACCGCCTCACCGGAGCATCCGGGTTCATTGGATCATGGCTCGTCATGAGGCTCCTCGAACATGGTTATACAGTTCGAGCCACCGTCCGTGACCCCGGTTCGTTTCCTTCTTTCCGGCCATAATTCATGTTTCAAATGTATACTTTTCCCTGAAATTCTTTTTCTTTATATATAACAGATAACGTGAAGAAGGTGAAGCATTTGCTTGATCTGCCAAAAACCAATTCCCACATGACTCTGTGGAAAGCTGATTTATCGGAAGAGGGAAGCTTTGATGCAGCCATTAATGGCTGCTGTGGAGTGTTCCATGTTGCCACTCCAATGGATTTTGAATCCAAGGATCCTGAGGTTTGGTCTTCAATCAGTTGTTTACGTATTTATGTATGCAATTAGGTTCATTTCTTTCTTTCTTTCTTTCTATTTATGTATCCAATAATCTATTTTCAATTCGTAGAATTTTACAAGTTCATTCCATTCTTTCTTTCTTTCTATTTTTATACAAATATGGGTTTGGTCCCTGTATGTAATATGGAATCAACAATTAGGGAAGTCAAGGTATATGAAAAAGGATGATATATAACTTTCTTTCTTTCTATTTTTATACAAATTTGGGTTTGGTCCATGCTAATAACAAGTTAGTAAGTTTTATTGTTTGAGATTTTTACAGAATGAAGTGATAAAGCCAACCATAAATGGAGTATTGGACATCATGAAAGCATGCCTGAAAGCAAAAACAGTTAAAAGGCTGGTCTTCACATCATCTGCTGGAACTGTCAACGTTGAACAACACCAAAAGCCCCTTTACGACGAAAGTAATTGGAGCGATTTGGAATTCGTCTACGCCAAGAAAATGACTGGATGGGTTTGTTCTTTTTACCATATTTAAATTGTCCTCCCCCCCAAACCCTGTTTTTAACATCCCTTTCTTTCTGGTTTCTAGATGTATTTTGTCTCCAAGACATTGGCTGAGCAAGCTGCTTGGAAGTTTTCTGTGGAGAATAACTTGGATTTCATCACTATAATCCCAACTCTCGTCATTGGTCCATTTCTCATGCCATCAATGCCAACTAGCTTGATTACAGGCCTTTCACCAGTTACTGGTACGCACTGTTATTCATGGAAACAAGTTTATCTCGTCAGTCGTCGGAAGAAGTATATATGGTATATTAATTATTCTAGAGCTTACGTATTGCAGGGAATGAAGCTCATTACTCGATCATTAGGCAAGGGCAATTCGTTCACTTGGATGATCTCTGCATGTCTCACTTATTCTTGTTCGAAAACCCTAAAGCTGAGGGCAGATACATATGCTCCTCCCATGCCGCTACCATCGTTGAACTCGCCAATATGCTTAGAGAAAAATACCCAGAGTACAATGTTCCTACAAAGTAACCCACTTACAATAAAAAAAATCTTCAATTTTATCGCTTTTCGTCCTTGGGATGGCTAATCATATAAATGCTATTGGTGCATGCTCAGGTTCAAAGATGCAGATGAAAACCTGGGAAACGCGTTCTTTAGTTCAAAAAAGTTGATGGACTTGGGTTTCCAGTTCAAGTACAGTTTGGAGGACATGTTTGTAGGAGCTGTCGAGACATGTCGAGCCAAGGGTTTGATTCCAGTTCCTATTAACACGAGTGTTCCTGCTTCCATTGACCAGGTTGGCAATGGGAGCACCTCTACTTCCACTGACAGAATGGTGAATGGCAAAAGATAGACGAACATCTATTTAACATAAGATCTCATGTTGGTTTTTGATTTTGTTTGAATAAAATTGGATGATTTCTCTTGATTTCTCCGGTTTGATTGAATTTATTATGAGATTAGATTTAGATATTATTGCTGCTGAAATTATTGTTTTCTTAGAGAGATCATCTATTTTAACATAAGATCTCATGTTCGTCTCTGATTTTATTTGAATAAAATTAGAAGATTTCTCTTGATTTCTCCGGTTTGATTGAATTTATTATGAATAAAAGTGCTTTTTTAAGTTTGCAAAAACATTTTTCTGAAGTTAATAGCAGGACATAGCAAGACTTTATATTAAGAGACGAACTTAAATTTAAGGGATAAACATTGTACTGTTTTATAACGGTTCTAATTTAATTTTAGAATTGATCTACTGATATTAATAGAAAAAGGAAATTTTTTTAGGACTCAAATTTGAATACTTATATCTAGGGCGGTTCATGGATAGTTAACAGTATTGTTTAGCCTAAACAATCAATTAACCGTTATAACAGTTATGAGATTTTTCTAACATTAACTTAACTGTTAAGAAACGATTAACCGCTAACGGTTAACCGTTATTAACGGTTCAGTTATAGGTTAATCTACTGTTAACCTATTACAATTATTTGTCAATTTTTTTCATAATTCATACTATAAAAAAATGTAGTACTTAACACATATTTACACCGGTGTAAGTGAATAAAATAAAAAAGTGTAGCACTTAACACATTCTACACCGGCGTAAGTGAATAAAATAAAAAAGTGTAGCACTTAACAAATACTTACAACTTTGTAAGTAAATAAAATAAAAAAGTGTAGCACTTAACACATTCTTACACCGATATAAGTATGTACATCTCCGAATATCTCAGTACCTAACAATAAACATATAATTATATTGATGTAAGTATGTTTCTATATTTTCAAAGAAATAAAAAATTTAAAATAATATATGAAATTATTTGTATATAAATTTTATTAAATATGTATATATATTATAAATAATAGAAACTTATATTAAGTTATTTATGTAAAAATATAAATAAATTAAAAATATAATTATAAATTTAATTTATTAACGGTTAACCAAATCGTTTCTCAAAATTCGTAACCGAAACCTTAACCGTTAACCATTATTTTTAGCGGTTCGATTAATCGAAACCGTTTAGTATTAACGGTTTAGTTAATTAACCTGTTAAATATAATGATACAGATTAACGATTACGATTAACGATTTCAGGTTTTTTTAAAACACTCCTAATTATGTTTATAGGGTGAGTGCGTGTTGTCAATATACAAAGAAAAATTTTAAATATCTTATGATCACTTTAGATTATTAAAAAAAATAAATTCGATTTTATTTTATAATGATTTTACATAATTTTAAGATGATTTATAATTTAATTAAATATTAGTTTCGACAAATCTTTAGTTTGGTTGAGCTGTTTAGCACGTGATTTTTTTGTTTACAAGGTTTAACGGGTTCAACTTTTTTACAATCAATTTTCTATAATTTAAGGGTGCTGTACAATTTAACCAACATACAGATATTAGTGAAAAATCAGCAAATTCCTAGACTAGAAGCCTCTTTGTATTTGATGATTAAAATAAATACAAGAGTTAGGGGACTAATATTGTAATTTACTTTAAGATTAAGGGTAAAGTATAGTAATGATCATTAAACTTTTCTGAAGCTTTCATTTAGATCCCCTAACTTTTAAAACTTACAATACATTCCCCCATCATTTAGTACATTTGCAATATGGTCCCCGACGTTACACTGTCGTTAGAAGACGCTAACATGGTAGTGAGATCACCGTTTGCAGTTATAAAAATTAGGGTAAATTATATAAATGATCATTAAACTTTTTAGGCACTTACATTTAGGTCCCTCAACTTTTAAAACTTGCAAAATAGTCCTTAATTTCATTCTAAACCCCAAATTCCAAAATAATTCAATTACATTCTAAACCCCAAATTCAAAAATAATCAAAATAATATTGAGTTAACCAAGATTTATATATATATTATTTTTTTGATGTTTTGATTGAGTTGTATTCAGTGAAAATTGATTGTTACTGTTCGATTGAGTTCATGTGCAATTGAATGGTGGGGTATGCATGTGTAAATGATGTATAGTTCATGTGAAAATTGATTGTTACTATTCTAAAAATTTATAGATTTAAGTTCATGAAAAAATGTTTCACATTTAAGTCTCAACAACCAATATTTAAATATCATCAATGTTTACAATATTTTATTCAAACTCAGTACCCAATACACATGCAACACAATATGAAAAAACAATAAGAAATTAGAACTCAATATCCAATACCATCAAGCGTCATTTACACATGCATACCCCACTATTCAATTGTAAATGAACTCAATCGAACAATAACAATCAATTTTCACTGAATACAACTTAATCAAAACATAAAAAAAATAAAAGAAATTTATATAAATCTTGGTTAACATGAAATCTTGGTTAACTCAATATTATTTTGAAGTATTTTAGAATTTGGTATTTAGAATGTAATTAAATTATTTTGGAATTTGGGGTTTAAAATGAAATTGAGGATTGTTTTACAAATTTTAAAAGTTAAGGGGCTTAAATGTAAGCTCCTGAAAAATTCAGTGACTATTTATATAATTTATCCTAATTTTCATAGCTGCAAACGATAATCTCATTGTCACGTCAGCATCATCTAACGATAGTGTAATGTCGAGAATCATATTACAAACAAACTAAATGTTAAGGGATTGTATTATAAATTATAAAAATAGGACCTAAATGAAAGTTTCAAAAAATTTACCCTAAGATTAAAGAACCTTTTGAGATGGTGTTGCATGATCAAAACACGGCCCCAACTTCAATCCTAATCTGGAAATTTTAAATGAAGCTTGTAGAAATGAAATCAAATCGGGTCAAAAACCCATCGAATTCAAATTATTTTGCATCAACTGATCTCCCCGATACAGCCAAGAAGTTCTTCATTCGTTTTACAGTCAACTAAAAACTGAGCTATTACTTATTACAATCTCGCCATTTTCCATTAAAAAATTAAAAGTAAAGCCGCGCTCTAATTCTCGAGACGAAGGAGATGATAAGCTACAACGCCCCTTTTTCTCTTATCAACCCATTCTTAAATTTCTCGACTTTTTACAGATTTTGATTTCCTCTACGTTGTTTTCAGATTTTCCGATCAGGTATCCGATGCGTTTCAAGTTTTTGTCCTTTTTGAATTTTCTATTGCCTTTTAGTTTTCTTTTTGGGTTAATTTTCACCGATTAACGAATCGTAGCCGCCGTAGATAAAATGGAGAAAGTGGTTCTAGCCCAAGCGGATTCGGTTGATTGGGTTTATAGAGGTGAAGGAGCTGCTAATCTTGTTCTCGCATACACTGGATCATCTTCCGCGTTTGTAAGTTAATTCGATAATTTTTTCTTTTGAATTTTGAATTTATCCAAAAATTGAAATTGTTAATATATGTTTGCTTATATTCTTCTTTTATTCGTTTGAAATATTGTTGATATGATAATAAGATGGGGAAAGTGATGAGAATACAGAAGTCACAACGTAAAGGCAAGAGTAGAGTTCACGAAAACGAAGGTTTAACAGCACATGAGCAGCTTCTTTGGCGAGAATATAAGGAATTATTGGTGTGGCCAAACCGAGAGATTGTACAGCAGCTTTACGTCAAGCATGTAATGAGCCCATTGCTAGGCCCACTACATGTCGATGCCGGGGTACAGTCGAATTGATATATGTACTGCTTATCAAAATTCTGATTTCCTTTTTTTTATGTGCTTTCTAATTGCCTATGTTTGAAACTTAACTCGTTTGGTCCTGAGCTTGGCAGATGCGTGTTCATGTGACTAAGGAATTCCTCCTGTCTGTTGAGAAGAATGTGACTTGCCGCCGGCCTGCTTGTCGAATTGATTCATCACAGGTTGATGTGAATCGTGATTCTGTTCTAATAATTTCGGATCATTCAGTCTTTATGAATGGTAATTTCGTATTTTCCTGATTTAGTTTGATGCGATTTCTCATGTTTTTACAAATTTAAAGGATGATATATTTTTTCTCACTCTTGTAAATAGCAGAAGATGGGACTTTGTAATACTGTTCAGCAAAGCTTAATTAGATAGGTTTATAGCCACTTTCCGATCTTATCCTTATGAGAGCAAAAGTATTTGTAGCAGACTTTACTAGAATGCAGGTGACAAAATGTTTGCCGGATAGAGTTTGATGTTAGGGAGAGGACTTAGCTCTCTAGATTGTCTACATGGAAATTTGTACATCCAAAGCACTTGAGCGAACTAGCCTTCTTTTTCTTATTGTGATTTCTTAATTACAGTAGAAACTCTTTAAATTAATACTCGGTAAATTAATAAACTCTCCAAAATAATAAATTTGTCCAGTCCCGACTTGGGCCAATGTAAAAAATTGAAAAACTCAATAAAATAATAAGATAATAATTTTTCGTTAGATCCCTTTATAATTTTTGATCTCAAGAAAATCATAAATTAATAATTCATAGAAACTAAAAAAAAAAATATATTACACTCTATTGAAATATGATTCAATAGTTATCTGTTTTCCTTTAAAGTTCAAGTCTATTTGGAGCTCATCTCTAACTTTTCTTATTGCATCCAATAGCTCAGGTGTTGTATTTTTGTATTGTATCATAAAGTTGTGAAGAGTGTTCGACGCCATAAGTGCTTCCTTTCGCGTAACAGGCTCCAAAGACACCGTATCATCTTCGCCGTCATCCTCTGCATTGTTCTCAATGATAGTACCCACAATATCTTCTAAACTCTGAACCTCCGAACATGCTTCATTTTCACCTGGGTAGTTCATTAGATTGTCGATATCCATCTTATTACGATAGCCACATTGATTGATCATAGTCTCAAGGTCTTGAGTTTCTTCATCAAAAGTGGATTCATCCAAATTTCTTGCAACGTCACTAGTTGAACGAATTTTACAGTGTCGGAAGCAATTCGCTATTGTTTCTTTTCGAACATCTATCGTCCAAGCTGGGATTGCCAAATTGATAGCATCAAGGACATTTATCTTCCCTGGATCAGATTGTCCCACCTCATAACCTTCCAATATTTTGCGGTAAAACCTTCTACGGTAATGCATCTTGAAAGCTCTTTATTATCCCAACCTCGCAAGGTTGAATCTTTGATGTCATGTTGGGTGGCAAGAAGAACAACTCAACGTTTCTTAGCCCTTCAATATTTCTTGGATGTGCTGGACAATTATCCACCACAAGTAGAACTCTTCTACCATGCATCATTTGGTCAAATGAACGAACATATTCATCAAAAAGCACACTAGTCATCCATGCTTTTTTGTTAGCTCGATACTGACAATCCAAGCTATTCATGTTGACATTCTTAAAGCAATGAGGCTTTGCATATTTCCCAATAATCCATAGAGGGATTTTTTCAGAGCCATCTTCATTGCAACAAATAACTACCGTTAGGCTTTCTTTTATCTTGTTTTCTTCCTTCAAGTTTTTTTGTTGCCAGTGAATGATCAGCTTGTAGCCTATTAAAACAACCCAATTTCATCCATATTGAAAACATCTTTCATAGGGAACTGATCAATTTTCTCCCGAATCGATACCAATTTCTTCTCCATGTCTTGTACATCAACAGACCCACTCTCGCCAAAACGACGAAATGACTTTATGCCCTGTCGCTGCTTGAATTTCCCAAGCCATCCTATAGAGAAGTTAAAATCTGAATCATCATGAGGGTACACGAGTTTCATTGTATCTCTTGCCTTCTGCAAAATTAATTCTCCTGTGATATTCACACGTTCTTGATGCTGGAGAAACCACTCATAAACAACCTTCTCCATGTCAGGATATTTTGCTGGTTTGTGTCTTTTGATCTCTGCTCTTCCCTTTTCTATGTCAACAGAGAGATAGTCATCTGACCGCTTAAGTGTGTTTGATATTGTTCCTTGACTAACTTTCAACTGAAATTTTCCCTCAAGCCATCTCTGCAAGTCTTTTTGTGTGCTTGCAGGATTATCTCTCTTGTACTCACACAACTCCTTACGTATTTGATCTGACATAGTTGATTTTGCAACACCTTTTAGATGAGAAGCCATCTTGTGAGATATGGTTTGAATACTCTAACACATTCATGTAATTTATATATGCCAAACTTGCTTAAGAATACATTGAACACATTTGTTCCTCTTGTTTACATTTACTGTACTTCAAAAGTCATTATTGATTTCCAATGCATATGAACACAATAGTTACTAATTTACGTTGAGTCCCAAGGTTCGCTGCAACGTAATTCTAAGAGGCATAGACTAATTTGCCTTTTTGTTTGGTATGTACAGTATAATTACTTAAAAACTCTTTAAATTAATAATTATTAATTTATCGATAAATTAATAACTCTCTAAATTAATAAATTTCTCCGGTCCTGACATTATTAATTTATAGAGTTTTAACTGTAGATTGTTAAATGCCAACTTACACTTATGCAGTGCATTTATGTGGGAAAATCCAACAGTGTGAGAAGAGCTCATTGACATTTACACGCTCTTCCTCATTTTTGTTTTGCTGGAACTTAGCTCCCATGTCAAATTACAAATAGCTAAATCTAACTAAACAATGAAACTAGGTTTCCATTGAAATATAATATTTAGGTTATGCAATATTGCAAAGCCTCCATTAGTATTTCATATCATTGCACTTTCTTTATTTCAGGTACTCTTAAAGGTGGACCATGTATAACAGTTGAGATAAAGGTGGATATCTTTTATTTGCCTTTTCTCCATCAATATATGTGTCATCAACCTTTTTTGTGTCCATTATGCATTTTCATTCGCTCTACTAAAGTTTTACTTACTATTTGTTTCGATGAAGTAGCCCAAATGTGGATTTCTCCCAGTCTCAAGATTCATATCTGAAGAAAATGTTGTTAAAAGAACTACAACTCGATTTAAAATGCACCAAGAACTGAAGTTGCATAATCAAGAGGTAACTTTTGGTTCTTCATATTATTATTTAGTGTGTTCTTTTTTTTTTGGGGGGGGGCGCGGGTGAGGTTCTAAGTATGTCCACATAGAAGAGAAGAGTTATCAGGTCTAGCCACTTTCTCACCCAGAGGGCTAATATGTCATCTTTATTGATATTTATTCTCACTTAGTAAATCTCACATTTCAAATTTTTTTTTGCAGATATCAGAATACAGTGAATATAACCCACTGGATTTATTTTCTAGATCCCCATGCAGGATATGTAAAGCTATTGAAGCTCTATATGCCACCCCGCAGAACAATTTCCGTGTATTCTTGAATGGCTCGATTGTATTCGGGGGATTGGGTGGAGGTGCAGGCAACACTACTGTCCTGGTTGGCGAGGCCTTTGAAGATGCACTTAAGGATGTCATTAAGGCAGATGATGGCCTGTGCAAAACTAGCTTTATACAGCTTGTTGCTGAGACTGTTTACACTTCTGGAGTACTAGATCAACTTCTTGAAGTGCAGAAGCTCGATGCTTATGATATTGAAGGGGCAATTCATGCTTATTATAACATAATTTCTCAACCTTGTATGGCTTGTAGAGAATTGAGTAAAGACAAATTATCAAACCGCTATCCTTCTTTGCACTCCATTACTTTGGATGAAAGTTTAAAGATTGTGAAGGACTATCTGATAGCTGCAACTGTAAAGGACTGTAGTATGATGATTAGTTTTAGACCAATGGAAGACGGAGATGTGCTATCAGAATCTTCTCACAATACTGTATATCTAGGATCAACTAAGCAAGTTTTTGAGTACAAGGTACGCTTGCCATTTTCAGTTGCATCTCACTGTCCATTATTAATGCTAAACTAGTGTATTTAGTATTTTTATATCTGTTGAAAAGGAATCTCTTGAAATGCTTTTGGGGATATACTTTGGTCTTGTTCAAAATTCTCTGAGATGTTTGCAATTATATATTTTATTCGAGGCTTTACTAATTTGCTCAATCTTTGTAACAAACCTAGAAAAAATATCATATAGCTCCCTGATTTAATGTAATAAGGAATTTTTTTTGGGGATGAAATCGAAGTCCTCTATGACAAGGTTTGTTGCTTTCTTCTCATTTTACATGTATATCTTATCTAAGCTGCAAATCTCTAGGTGTTTTTCATTGATCTGGATTTGAAACCTTTGACGAAAATGGAGGACTATTACAAGTTAGATAAGAAGATTGTTAACTGCTATTGTCTGAGGACAAAAACTGAGCATAAAGCAGAGAAAGCTGCTAGAAGGGACACATATGAAGAAGTATTGAGATAAACGATGTTCCTTAAAAGAAAGTTTGTTTACCGAAGATTGTACTGGTAAGTGCATTTTTTTTATATGTTTCCTAAACTGTTGTTGTAGGAGTGAAGATGAGAATTACTCATCCTTAGGCTCATGTTCTTCCTTCACCCCATTTTGGAACTTTTGGATTTCCCTTTGAGAAACTACTTTATTGCTGCATCTTTTGCTTAAATATTATGCTAGTTTGTTTCTTTCTTTTTAATTTACCTTCTTTTGTGGAAACCAAATGGTCCTCTATTTTCACAGCAGTTGCATTTACTGGTTTAAATTTGTTTACTTATTTATTTTATCATTACTGGTTTAAATTAGATTTGCCTATGAGAGGGACTTGGTTGGAGTGCTTATCCAATTTGTTCTAGAACGCCCAACATAACATGGATCTCCTTGAAATCAGATAAACTATGCATCAGTCTGAAACTTGTTATCCAGTTTGTCTCACTCTTATCATAGTATAGTTGATATTTACCAGAAACGTTGTTCCCATACTTTGCTCTTTTTAGCCTGTAGATAATTTATCATTTTCTTAAAAAGCTGTACTATTTATCAAATATCAACCCCTGAAGTAATTTCATTTTTACTTTTCAAGTTGTTGAGAATCACCCAACTGGGGTTATTTTGGAACATTTTGCTATTGAACCCCAACTTTTCCTGTGTATATTGCTTCTGATTTCAGTTTTCAAATCGCTAGTATAATTTAGAAAGGTGATTCTTCATACTTGAAAGAGTTATTGCATTTGCATTCTCAAAACGTTATATAGATGTAATGCTTACCATACATGCACATCATCTGGTTTCAGGAGTGCTGGTTAACATTCCTTTGCCCGTGGGAGCTTTACAGTAGAAGAAAAAGAGAAAATGACAGACTGCAAGGTTTGGGCTAACAGGGAAATGATGTATCAACCGTCAACTACTCACCACCGTTAAAATCATGAGGCCTAACAGCCAATTAATTCATACAGCTTGATATTAAAATTGCTGTTTTTAGTGAAGCTTTGATGGGTTTCGTGGTGGTGAAAGTTGAAGTTATTGGCAGACTTATCTTAAATGCACTCTTTGAAACTAATCAAAGCAGATATTTTTTTATTGAAAGTGTAGTTGTGAATTCCATTCTTTTTTTCTAATAGAAACAGCTGGAGTTATGATTGAAAGAAAATTAAAATCATGTGAAGGGGAGCTTGATTTTCAGTTTACATAAATGTTTGCATTCATTTTTAGTGTGCTTCGTTCTGGACTGTAGAAGCATTGTCGTCCTTTTGTTTTTTACTGATATCTTCAGCGCGTGTTTACTATAGTAATATAAATGAAAAAGCAAATGATTTAAGGAAATGACCATGTAATGAAAACTCTACCATGTTTTGGGATTGTTAAAAAAGAACCAAGTTTTGGATATGTGCAAAATACATGATTCTGATTCTTAATTTGAAGTTTATGCTAACTGAAATTATTCAGCTTTGGCTGGTCTTGATTGGACTTCTGTAGACCTTTTGTCCAAACAGAGCTGGAGATGACAGGTGTAAATGCGTGGACCATTGGAGGGAGGTTCCTAGAGTTCTATGTCGGAAATTTCAACACATTTTTGGCTTGCCAGGTATTTTTTCAACACTTAAATGTTGTTTATTACTGTTCAGCTTCATTGGTATGAAGATTACTGCGCAGCTGGAGTTATTAGCCACAAATATTTGAGTAGACTAAAACAGTTTGCACTTCAGGTCCCAGCTTCATTAGTTTAAAATTAGAACTTTTGCATTAGTTGCTCAATATCCATCTCTACCGAAGCTATTTGTCCTTAAGAATATGCTCGTTTTGGGACTGTTGTGTTGTGAAGGCTTGCTTGTACCGTAATTTTATAGTTTAAAGTTGAAGGCTTGAGAGGACCTAAGTGAATGGTATAAAAGTTTTGCCCATTCAGCTCCGAGCAACCGCCGAGTTTGTATTTGGACTCGCACCTGTTCTCCGCACAATAGAAAACACTGCTAAGTCGTACTTAGAAACTCAAGGAATAGAGCTGATAGAATCAAGGTCGTGTATTGTATGATTTCATTTTTAGCAATAGAAAGTATTTTCCTTAATGACTTGGAGTTATTCTAAGAGGTGCGAGTCGGATGTACTGCTATTTTGGTAAGTTCCATTCAAAACTGTTTCAAGGTCATTATGAGTGAGAATTCTTAAGTCGTGTTGTTGCTGCTCTACAACCCTGTCAGTAAAGCTGTTCGGTCCGAAGTTCCCGGCACTAGGTAAATGCAGTTTGTATTATCTATGACCCATCAAAAACTACAGTGGCCATGACCGAAGGAGTCGGCCTAGTCAAAATCATTGAAGTTCAAGAAATTTTGAAGACATGCATAGCCAGTATGAGTTTAGGGGCTGGAAATGAAGGGAGGATGTAAGAGATGGTTGGACCGGAAAGATTATGTGATTTAACCGCCAATTTTATGACATTCTAAACTGTCTAAAGTTATTGTGATCTAAACCTAATATATTCCGATTATTAATCTCTGTTCTGTACATTTAAATATCGGTTCTGTTGGAAGTCTCAATTAGTGGCTATATACAGAAATGACTTTTTTACTGTTTAACCCCACTCATTGTGGAAGACGTGTAGGGCAGTGACAGCTGTAATTACTCCTCTAGGGATAGCAATGGATATTTGCATATATGTTGTTTTGTAGTTTCAGATATTGTATATTTAAATACAATTTAGTTCGATATTTCAGAATAAATATATGATGAATTGATAAAGCCTTAACCAACGTGCTTAATTAAAACATATTACATACCCGTTTTCTTATATGTACATATATACATTCACAGATTTACATTAAATACATATTTTGCAGATGAAGCCATAAATATAGCTGAACTGATTGTTTCGCCGTTGCATGTCACCACCACCAAGTTTATCAGCTTCCAACAATAATTCCTATTTACATTTGAAGTTGTCGACGCAACAACTGTGACAAAACTAAGAACTTGTTATCGTTTCGATTGACCGGAGCTGAAGACTGATATACGAACACAATCACACCTTAAAGATTCAACCTAATTCAAGTTACTAACATCACCTGTTATGCATACTTCTTCAAGTTCCTTTGAGCACGAAACTCGCCAAGTTTGTCTCTCAAGTCGGCTGTCAGGTAGGTATTATAATCTTAAATATGTTAAACATAAGTCGAACAAATAAAGTTCACTTGATCTTGGATCACAATTAAATAATCTAAGAGTGATGTTTTTGACAGTCGATGAAGGGGAAAGTGAGGGACGTACCAGCATCCTTGTAGCGCTCCTGATTAACAGCCTTGTTTAAGTCGGAGACAATGTTGAACTCCTCCGTATCGAGGCAATACTGACCACTCGGCCTGAAACCATAAAGTAAAGCATCTTACATTGTAGGTCTGGAAATTTATAAACAAGAATCTCCTGCAGCTGGGGTTTCAAGACTAACCGATCCAGTTCGGTGAATAATAAGTCACCTGAAGCTGGGGACTGCATCGACAGCTTCCCTGCTTCAATTGCACGCATACCATCATTGTATGCCAAGTACTTGTTCACTTGTATAGGTACCTGCACAACACATCGAGTAGGCTTCCAATAAACTCGCATCTTAGGTAGGAATTTAATACTGGTATAGACGTTTGTGTCAATACAAAACCGTGTCTTTGGTATTCTTTCTCCCCAATGACGAGTCTTTGATATTATCAATTAACAATATGAACCAACTTACGCATTTTAGCTGTTGAAAATACTTTTAGCAATATTTAAAGCCATGTGTCAAAACAATCACTAGTTAAATATGTTAATATGCTTCAACAAGGACCATTACGTTGACCTTAGACTCTCATAATAGATGACCTAGCAGATGCAATTCTAAAACAGATATAATCGAGCCAAATGCTCGAAAGGCCATTTGGCAGAAAATCGGAATTATACTAGATAGAGACTAACACGTAACAGGCACCTTGCATCTCACAGCAATGTTGATGGCATCTGAAGGCCGAAGATCAAAAGTGACCAACTCTGTCTCATCACCCACCTGTGAGAACATCCAACATGATTCAGTGAAGACTTCTCTACATGAATATCTAAGCGTTGCATGTCAAAAAATGTGCTAATAGTGGAAGAGACCTTGGTGAGATACAACTGCGCAAAATAGGCCTCGTGCACTCTCTTAGTAACTCTGACAAGTTTTACCTGCAAAAACAAGAGACGATATCACGAATTCGCAACCGGATCACAAAGGAGCGAAGACAAGTCCAAATATGGAGATGGAAATGAATCATACCGAGTAGCCCATCTTGTCAATCATGTTCTTTACTACTTGATACATAGTAGGTCTAGACTGCACACAATAATCTAAACATATATTAGCATTCACATTCAATACATAACCAAGCGACTCGCAAGTTCAAATCCAATAATCCAACATGCCAGAAACATAAGAATCCCTACTCAATGGGATACAGAATGAAAACATACGATTTGAACATTACACACTGCTGCCATGAGTAATGCACTCGGCATCTCCACTGGAATCAAAACAATAACCGAAATCAAACGTGAACATAAAAGCTGATAAAAGAGTCGAATGGTCGGATGATAGCGAAAGATGGTCACATACAAACAATGATTGGGAGAAGAAGACCGGTTCCGTCTTCCATCTTCAGAACGATGGCAGGATGTGGTTCATAATCCGGCATATGCCCGCCTTGGGGATAGTTATGGACACACCTTAAATGACTACCATCCCTCATTTTGATCATAAATCCACCAGCTCCATTCCTCACCTCAACTATATGAAACAATCACAACATACATATCATATCAACAATTATCTACATAAAAAGAAACAATTTTCTATATCGAATTCAAAGACCCGACAAGACAAAAACGACAATGAAGTAATCATTGGCTTAGAATCCACATACCAGCCTCAACCACACTGGAATTAACATAATCTTCATTGTTTTCATTGAAATTCTCAGCCATGCTTCCATTCCCATCTGAGGATGAACTGAAAATACACTGCACCGTGGTGTTGCACTTGCGTAGCTTCAGGTGACCGGAAACGCCACGCGGCTTACACTTTCCGTCAGTTATCCCTCTATAACCCCATAAATCACTTCCATGCAATCTTGCCCTCGGAGAAGGCCCATTAAACGGCAACGTATAGACACCAACTTGCTTGCTACGAACGGCAGGGCAAATCACCGGTCCTTGCAAAGAAACCATCTTTACCTCTTCTATCACCTGCCACCCAATTTATCGTAATTTCCTTATAATATTTTATGGGGAATTCACCGTGCCACCCAATTTATGAAGTAAAACCATCCAAAAACGAGATCAGAAGATATGTACATATTTGAAGACCGCGGGTGGTCCAATTATAAGAATTAAAGCATCAATTCAATTTTTTAATTAAAAAAAATCAAAACTTGAACTATTATTACTATATAGATGAATAATCAAAATGATCGATTTTCAACATAGAGAATTACGGATCTTTGTAAGTTACAACAAAGCTTGTAATATGAAGAAGCCTTTTCGAAGATCAAATTCAAAACGATTAATGGGGGTGGGGAAGAGAAGGAAAAGAAAAGAGAAACAGAGCTTCAAAAAATGGAGAGCAAGCAAATCAGCGAAGGAATCAGAGATTGGCAGACGATAAGAGATTCCTTTGTATTTTATTATTATTTGTCGTGAATTATGATTTAACCTTTAATTATATTTATTTTACCACTTTAATTCCTCAATTGTTTGTAATTCATTTTGATCCTCCATTTTTTCTCAATTTACCAAGAAAAAATGACAATAACAGCAAAAAGGAAAGAGAAACGTATAACGTAGCAAATGACCTCTTCATAACATAGACAGACTTACTTGAATATCATGTGTATAATTAAAGGATCAGATTGTGTATGTAGTATAACTATCTTGATGTATTAAATATTTAAATTTGTAAATAGATTTTTTAAAATTTTAAAACAAGTTGTTTGCATTATTGCTTTGACGAATTGGTTTAACACATGGTCTTAGGAGTTAGTAATATTTTACTTGTATCATTTTTTTAAGAGAATTCTGTAAATTTTAATAAAATTTAGATTGATAGTGATCCATCTCAATTAGAATATTCTTTTGAGATAATAACATTATATATATATATTTTTTAGTGCAAGCGAAGAACAGCAACTTTACTCGTCTATGCCAACAGCAGCATCAAGCTGAACTAGCGCCAGAGCAGGCTCAGGTGCATCGGTATAACGCTGGAAATTTTCATTCATGCTCCACGCCAAACGCGCGAGACCATCCGCTACCTTGTTGCATCCCCTTGGAACAAAACGAAACCGTAACCTCCATTCCCGGTCAATCAGCTCAAAAATATGAGGTATCATCGTGGAACTTCCATCTCCCATATTCCGACATGTAAGAAATGCATCAGCCTCCTTACTATCAGACTCAACAATGACCTGTCGGAAGCCACACTCCCACGCCATCTGCAGCCCCAAGAAGATGCCCCATAGCTCTGCATCAAGCACCGAACAAATTCCTATACGCTTAGAGAAGCCCCTCACCCAAGCCGCAGACGGATTTCGAATAACCCCTCTACAAGTAGCCATTCCAGACGAACATCTGCGAGCTCCATCAACGTTTAGCTTCCACCAACCACTTGCCAGAACTACCCACCTTGTTTCCTCAGTAACGACTAACGACTGAACACCGCTGCGAGCGTAAAGTTTTCCGAATCAAGCCATTAACCATTTCCTCAGTCAAACGACCACTCTTTTGGATAATGCTCTCGTTTTCCATGAAGTCAGCATCAAAGTTCAGCTTGTTCCTTCGGTTCCATAGACACCAAGCTACTGCTTCAAAACGGATATCCCAGTCATCCCCAACTATCGGATATAAATTCGCCTGGCGGAGGTTCCTCACCACCCACGTATGTAGTTTACCATTTAGAAACTCCGGCATCATGCTAGGTTTAAATAAGGATTTCCACGTACTCAGCGCCAACTGGCACTCCCTTACGACATGTGAGCTGCTTCCAACCGGCGCCCCACAGACTGAGCAACTGGGGTCTCCAGTGAGGTGACGCCGCTCTCTCTCCCCAGTTGTCAGCGATTTTATTCTAAAGCGATTTTGTTTAAATGTTAGTCAAATAATGGTTTTGACTCTTAATTTTTATATTTTAATGTTTAATAAATTTTTATTCTAAAGCGATTTTGTTTCCCTCAATATTCGATCATAACTATGTTCCCGAAGGTAGCCTTGCTAAGGATCAATCAATTGCCTCCTCATCATTCATCAAGTCCTCCAAATTCTATTTCACCACAAAGGACAATGAACAATGACAGTAAGCTTAAATAATATTAGTGAATACCCTAAGCCATTGAAAACAATCACAATAACAAAGGTTAAAAAAGAGCATTCCACGTGTAACCTTATTTACTGCTTAACATGTTATATGCTTCGTATTTATGTTTCCATATGGTGGGATGGCAAATGAGTGGGGGCGGGTGTGAATATATCTTTCTCCAATTTTTATACCCATTTAATAATTTTATTTCACCATCTATCCACTATTCACGATGGGTAAATATTTTAAATCCACACCCGTCCACGAGAATACACTCTCAAATCTACTCCCACTCCCACAATCTAATTGGATGCCCATCACCCATCTCATATATGTATGTACTCACTTGTATTTGTCCATAACCGTCAAATTAAGATAGGAGAAACAACGACCTTCAATTCTAAAAATGTTTATACCCTAACATTAGGTTAAATTACAAGTCATGTCCTATAAAATCTTAATATTTACAAAATAGTCTCTAAAATTATATCTAAATTCATAATGGTCTAAAATTTAAATGGTGAGTAGTTAGTGGTCAGGCAGATGAGGGGCGTGTAGATGCAGGGCGAGTAAGGTCTCAGACCCATCATCTACCCACTACCCATGACGGGTATGACTTTTTACATCCACACTCGCCCACTACCCACTAAACTTATACACATCTTCACCCCAATTGGAGCGGGTACAGTGTGAAACCCATAAAATTGTACCCGTCTATCATCCTATTATATTGCAAACGGAATGACAACTTGCTCAAAATTCATAACTTAAATAAGGTATTTTGGGGAAAGTAATGATGAGCAAAAATGATTCAAAGAAGTGACGAGAAAAAAAAAGAATGTAGTAAAAAATGAATAAAAAATAAAGTTGAGGGATTGAATTGTAAAACATTATTATTTTTTGTTATAAATAAGAATTGAAATTACATATGTACTTTATAAAATGTAAGAGAAACGTGCTATTCAAATTTGATCAAAATGAATTTAAAATGACAGAGGAATTAGAAGTAAGAGAAATTATGAGCGAGTTTTGGAGTTAACCAAATTGTTGAGTCATATTTTATCATTCAAACTTAATTTAAAAACTTTTGAATTGAACCAAATACATAAAATTTAAATGGATTTAATTTTTTTTAATCGAATCATGTTTTGTACACCTCTATGCATTCTAATTCAGCCATAATTTATTTTTAAGTAAAATTGTCTCGATTTATAAAAACTGAATTCGATCGGGTCTGATTGGGATTCATTGAGGTCGAGGGAAATTGAAATCTTTGAACTTTAATTTATGACATGTTGAATCAAATAACATATTATTTTAAAATGAACTGAATATTAATTTAAAAATAATAATTATTTTAATATGAAAACTTAAAATTATAAAATCTTAATTATCTACCGCTCATTTTCTTGTACCCAAAAAAAAATCAATGAGACAGACCACATGTAAGCATCAGAATGCCACTCTGACTGAGACGGATCCAAAATTAAATATTAACAACCGTCGAAATATTAAATTATTTAAAAATATATATAAAGATTTATTAGATATTTAAATTCGAAATTCATCATGAACCAAGCGACCTTAGTGATTAAAAGATTGTTGTTATCCTTGAGGTCCCGAGTTCAAACACTTATGTAGGGGTATGAGCATTCATTGTTAAATAGTTGAAAGTCTTTGTATAGATATTATCTTGTATTCACCCTAAATTTAAAAAAAAATTCAAAAACTTAAATGATAACTTCTAATTTATTTAATATTTAAACTTACAATGACTTAAATTGTAATTAAACCAAAAGTTGAGAACCCATACTTATCATTATTTAGTTCGACCTTAATTGATTAAATATTTAATAAATTTTTATATTTTTTAAATTTAAATATTTATTTTTACATAAATCAAAATACTATTAAACTAAAATTATATTAAATATATAAATTTTAACAGGGTCGGACCTCTTGACCCTAATGGAGCTCCGTCACTGCCCAAACAGGAAACAATGTTCTTCAAAATGTTTGGTCAATTCCTTCATTTGGACTCTTTTTCAGTCTTTTTGTTCTTTATCCTGGCATATAGTCTGTTCTGTCCTTACAAGCAAGTCTATATGGACCACTTTGATGGCCATTCAATGATTTATTTGATATTTTAGCAATAGTTTAAGGTAAAAACAAAAATTTACTCAAATGTTAGTGACCACTGGTGTAATTTACCCTTCTTTATATTCATGTCACAATTTTTTAAAGGGTAAACTACAACCATGATCACTTAACTATGCAGGAATTATAATTTGACCATCGATCTTTTATTTTTATCAACCAAACTAGTTAATTATATAAATGATGTCAATCATATCATGTCATTAAGATTTGACATAGAAATTGATGTGGTAGTTAATAAAATTGATATAATTATAAATTTTTCCCTTATTACTTACACATTCTATCAGTTTTATTCTAATTTTAATTTTTTTAATAAAATTAATCATTTAAGTAAATGTTGACATGTATCATCATAACTTATATGGCTTAATTGTAATTATAGAATTTGTAAATAATGACAACCACATATATAATTATATCAATTTTGTTAATTGTCACGTTAGCTCTTCCATTAAATGTTACAACAACAACAACAACAAAACCCTATTCCCATATGTAATGGGGTAAGATGGAGGTATGGTAGTAGGCTGCCCCAACGTCAGGTTGAGATAAGCTTCCGTGGAAGACCTCCGACAGTCAGAAAATTAAAAATAAAGATAAAAAATACAATGCATGTATAAATAAATAAATAAATAAATAAATAGTTGAACATTCTTCATATGCAGTCTTCATATGCACGTCTGTAGTGGAAAGTAATCTCTGCAAATAAATCCTTGCGTAAAAAATCTCTGCATATAGACAGAAACGTAAGACCCGGCTAAATTTAAAAAGAGGAAACATGAAGAGAATGATACACAGAAGTCAGCGATAGCAAGCTACGAGAAGGAATAAAGTCAAATGGGTTAAAACATGAACTAAGACAACACTACTCCGCTACCCTAGTTCTAAGCCTTCATAAATTCCAATGACAGAAACGTAGAAAAAGTAGAAATCATGGTAATTACTACAAATGCATTAAAAAGAATACAGATATGTTATACCCTATGACTGTGACCCACACTACTCGGCTACCCTGATCTTAAGTCTCCATACTTTCCTATCAGAGGTCATGTCTTCGGTAATGGCTAAATCCTTCAAATCATATCTCAAGCAGTCTACCCACTTCCTCCTTGGTT